ATGCTCACCCCCTCCTCCCCACAAGGATCTCCCTTTTCCTGCTTTTTAGTTCTTCCACTTTTCATACTTCTCAGCTCTTCTATTTTTTCCTGCTAGGCTGCCCCCTGTGTGGAATAGATGTTTGCAATACTTTGACAAGATCTAAGAAGGGAATGAACAATCGCAAGCCAAGAGCTCAAAGGGTAATCAAGAGAAGCAAGAGTTCAACGGATATCAGCAAAAACAAAAAGGAATTCCATAGGTCATCAACAATAACAACAAGGAACTTCCAAAAAAGGGAGTTCACAAACAAAGATAAAGAACAATGAAAAAGTGTAGACGCGATGGCAGGGGGTGTTTCTATTGAAGGGGGCAAACACCATTATTGTAGGGGGTTAAGTTATATGGCTAAACAGTTCTATTGTATTGGGCTAACCCCTTTGCGGAAAATATTTGTGCGACAGATTACTATATTTGGGATTACGCAAGAAAATAACAAAAGAACTTACCATGTAATCAACACAAGGAAGTTTCAAAAAGAGAACTCGCAAATAAGCGTAGCGATACGTCACACACATAAACATTATTGCGGGGGATGCTACTTTTCAACCGTCATACCAGAGCACATTGCAGACAACATTTGAGAGGGTAATATCATTGAACAATGAAACAAACGTAGACATCAAGAGGTGTTATTACTATTCAAGCGAAAAGGGACAGGCGTTAATGTAGATGGTTTTATCGTTCAAGATTTCTAGTGCACTGTGGTAATCCCTTGTGGAATAGCTTTTTTTGTGACAATGTAATAAGATATCATAAGGGAAGCAAAGGCAATTTATTCAATAATTTGGGATGACGTCGCGAGGAACGGAATGCAATGGTTAATCAAAAGACCCAAAGGATTTTTCAATGGGCAGCCACTTTTATTGTAGAAGTTAAATGATATTATCCAAGATTTCTCGTGTACCTGGCCAAGCCAATCTGATTAAAGAATTCAACGGGACATCCAGAGGAATCAACAGTTATTTTTTGGAAACCAATTCAAACCGCAAAGAATGTAAACGGACACCAGTAGAATTTAAAAGGATTAGTGCTACAAACCTGCTGGCTTTAAAGTTTTTAAATAACATATTACATATACACACATTCAAACATGCCAAACGCATCAAATTTCTGTCATTTTTGGCAAAAAACAAAACCAATCAACACAGGTTTTTCTGTTTTAAGGGAAGTTTGGTTTCAGACGCCTTTTTGTTGTTGTTTTCTTCATTTTGCTTATTTGTTCTTAGCACCAGATTGGCAACATATATGCGTATTGTTTTTTACTTAAAGGTAATAAAAAGAGGTCTGAAAGAAACACAAGCCAAAAAAAAACACAAGCAAAAAAAACACTAATAAACAACACAGACTTTTCCAGAGATTTGGTTTCAGACATTGTTTGTGTTTCTTTTTCAAAAATCAATTTTAGACTTCTTTTGTGGTTGCCTTTGACTCAAAAGAGTTAGATCATGGTACTATATTTTTACAAACCTGAAGCTAAGAACAATTAAGCTAAAAAAACAGTAACGCAAAATAAAGACCAAAACACATCTGAAACAAGACTTCCCCCCCCAAAAAATGTTTTTGTTTTTCAATAAAAACATGGCTCAAGATTGCCTATTTCGATAGGATCCACTTGTCAGCCCCAGAACCTGAAAAGAGGTTCGCCTGCGCCTCCCATGGATTAGAAGAAGAGTGTGCTTCTCTTGCTTGTGGGATTCCATGGCAAGAGACTTGCGCATATGCAGCTTTACCACAGTATGGTGCGACCGTGTGCCGAGACTGTGCGGCCTTGCTTCGTTGATGGATCGCCTCCAGAAGCCCATGGAGGAACACTGCAAGTTGGAGAACCAGGATCGAGACCCATTTGCATTTGTCAGGAAAGTAATGTTGCTGATGAAGCACGTGGCAGCGCGCGAGCGTTTGCAAGCCGGCATGGAGGGTCTCAATAGTGAGTGTTGTTCCAATGCCAGCCAGAGTGTGCGGTTGGGGAGCAACTTGGCTGGCTCTAAGGTGTGAGGGAGTGGGAGGCTTATGCCGATGTCGCTTCACCGCAGAGCGGCGCGACTATATGCCGAGACTGTGTGGACTAGTTTCCTTGAACTATCGCCTCCAGGAGGCGATGAAGGAACGTAACAGCGAGTGGCTCAAGAACATGTGCCGGTGTCAGAAGTTCGTTGAGCTCTTGACGGGAAGGACCAGGTCGCTGACACGGAGTACTGGCCCTTGGTAGCTTTTGTTTCGGCTTCCAGTTGGACAGGCAACTGCGTGGCGGGTCCGATGGGCAGTGTAGCTTGGAGCTCTATCGGTGCTAGTGTCCGGATGGGGACAAGCTGATCACCCGCGGAATGACATGAAGAAGCGATTAGCCAAGTACAGATATGCTACTACTTGGTTTCGGATGAGTTGAGTTGACGGACTGGCGGCAAGAGGCACTAGGGTGTACAGTGGCTACGTGACTGTTGTTTTTGCAGCTTTTGAACGTTCCACACGGCGTTCTTTCAGTAGCTGGCAGACTTGCTCAGCCATCTTTTGCTCATGTTGCATGACTGACGGGCGTCCATCGCCCGGTTCAGGTGGTCTTTTGTTTCGCAGCGCTTCTTGTTAAGTATGCTGCGGGCCCGAAGGAACCCAAACGGGTTTACTTCAGGGGCCAAGTGCAGTTTTAAATTCGGAATTGGATGCAACGCGTGCTGCAGGCAACCGCCCTTAGCGACCGCAAATGGAAAAAACATTCTTCAATAAAGATAGGAGGTCTATATATATGTTTAAAGGCATCAAAAAAAAGCTAATGAGGAGCACTGATTGCTGATATGGTCAAAACATAGCTTGTGTATGGGCAGGCCCACAAAAAAACAGCTCTAGGTAGATCATGGCGGGGTGTGTGTGTGTGTGTGTAACCCTTGGAGTCATAGGGATCCTTCCGGATTTGTTTATTTAATTTTATGGCAGGGGGCACCTGGAGCAGAGATAGGGCAGGTGCCAACGAAGACACCTATCTCTTGCTCGTGATATCGACGGGAGACGTCCTGTCGACGTACCTGCAACTTTTCCATTTTCTGCATGGCGTGAGGCTAAGCCAAGAACCTCATTGAACGTACGTCGTCACCTTGTCGTCGGCTCGATCGGTGTTTTCTTTTGGAGTTGCTGGCCACCTGAAACCTTTGAGACCTCCGCTGGATGGACCTGCTCTTCTTTTAGGTTTCCTTACCTGTACCCTTAGGAAATGGAACCCTAGGCCGGCGTGTGGCACCGCAATCAAGTCAGTACGTCTATCCACGAGTGTGTTTGGCTTCGTGCCAACCCGGGATGAGCCCGCAGAGTGCCTCCCGTGGACCCGTCGAACGGGTGTATGTCCATGTTCCCCCGGCTCTGGGAACGCAGATGTCCGCAGCGGACAGTAGATGGCTTATGCCTCAAGAAGTGGGATGTTTGTCTCATCTTTGGAATTCCAAGCTGGCTCATGCCTTTACGTGACCGTAGCGGTCAAAGCTGCCAGCCATCTTGGCACGGCGTACGTGGTCGCAGCGACCGAAGTCTGTTCAAGGTTCATTGGAACCTGTCGAGCACTTAGCCCCCCCTTCTCCCCCTTCCCTCCCCCGTTCTTTCTTTGCTTTCTGGGGTTTTCCTGAATGCAATACTCAGGATCACCCCTCTCTTTCTTGGGTGTGTCCCTGGACGATTGTTCGTAGCTGGGAACACCTTCCTTTCCTCTCCCTTTCTCTCCCTCTCTTTCTTTCTTTCTTTCTTTCTTTCTTTCTTTCTTTCCTCTCTTCACCCTCTTCCCTGGGTGTCCCTGGATGCTTCGTCATAGCTGGGAGCCCTTCCTTTTGGTGTGTCCCTGGACGCATGTGTCGTAGCTGGGAGCACCTTTGTCTCCTTCTTTCTTTCCCTCTCTTTTCTTCCTCCCCCTGCCCCCTCTTTCCTCGCGCGCGGCGTGTTTACAAGCAAACTAGGCTTCTGCAACAGGGTTTTTCTAATGAGGTTTGGTTTGTCATCGGTTTGTCCCCGTTCATTTGGTTCCCCTTTCATCGGCCCCCACAGACGGTTTTTCTTCCTCTTTTCTTTCATGTCTTTCTGTCTTCATGTCTCTTCATCCTCATCCTTTCTTTCTCTTGCGTGCACTTTCGTCCGGACCTTAGTTTGTACACATACACGCACGCATACTTTACTTACAGTGAGGTTCAGGTGGCCCAGGTTCGTTACAATGAGGTTTGGCTCATCGGTTGTCCCTCTTCACTTGGTTCCTTTTCATTGGCAACCACACACACCTTTGTCTGTGTTGTCCTTCTCATTTTCATCTGTCCCTTTTGCGTGCACATGTGCCTACCTCCTTTCCGGGCAGGATGGAGGTCACACATGCCTCCCTTCGGGGAGGCGTGTGTGTGTAACCCTTGGAGTCATAGGGATCCTTCCGGATTTGTTTATTTATTTTTATGGCAGGGGGCACCTCGAGCAGAGGTAGGGCAGGTGCCAACGAAGACACCTATCTCTTGCTCGTGATATCGACGGGAGACGTCCTGTCGACGTACCTGCAACTTTTCCATTTTCTGCATGGCGTGAGGCTAAGCCAAGAACCTCATTGAACGTACGTCGTCACCTTGTCGTCGGCTCGATCGGTGTTTTCTTTTGGAGTTGCTGGCCACCTGAAACCTTTGAGACCTCCGCGGGATGGACCTCCTCTTCTTTTAGGTTTCCTTACCTGTACCCTTAGGAAATGGAACCCTAGGCCGGCGTGTGGCACCGCAATCAAGTCAGTACGTCTATCCATGAGTGTGTATCCCTCTCTCTCTCTCTCTCTCTCTCTCCCTCTCTCTCTCTCTATGCGTATATATATATATATATTTTATATGTCTATGTCATGTACATATATGCGCCTAGAAGGGTCTCCACATACGTGTTGCGGGCAACTTTTCGTGTTTTTTGCGGCGCAACTCACGAACTTTTCTCTCATGGCTCGCCATGTCCTGGCTCAACCGGTGAAGGCTCGGGGACTCGGTGAAGGCCGAGCACGGCCGGGTGAAGGCCGCGCCATGGGGTCCATCCTGTTCGAGCAGATTTCGCCGCTTGGTGCGGTGTGTTCTCACTTGAAGTGTAGACCCAGTCGCTGGCGAACAGTCAGTCTTGGCGGATGGATTTCGGGGCCAAGAAAGCATGGGCGTAGAGAGCCAGTGGAACCTTAAAGCTGCATGAAATGAAAACATATGTTTGGCTGAAGGACCATCGATCCGGGTCGATTCGGGTCGACTTCGACGAAGTCTCGAGACCGACGGGATCCCCTTCACTGTTAGTTTTTCTCATGGAAAGCAAGAATACATTAATTTACGTTTCATTCCTTTGTTGTTTCTTGTGCAAGAGCATTTGATAAGAGCGGGTGAAGTGCTTGCATGAGAGAGAAGCAAAACAAAAAACCGGCATTTTACCTATTGATCATTCGGAATAGTGATGGAAGACGTCCGATAGAAATCAACGGGAATCAACAAAATCACTGCAAATACCCGTGGATCCTTTTTGGCCTGAGCTGGTGCAGCACTTCCAGGAATTGATTTCGTTGTGAACAACTCCGGTCCACTGAGGTCTTTGTGATTTACATCCTCTTCTTTCGACGAAAAGGGCCGACAAAAATTCGCCGTGAAGCTCCAAACTGGCCACAGAGGGATTTTGTTTTTCGTCAGTCTTGAACATGTTTGGAGAGATACCCTAGCATTCCAACCAGCATTGATTTCTACAACAATAGTCTCTACCGAACTCAGGATTACAAGGAAAGATCAGATCAACCACTTTTTCTTTCATGCGAAACCTGAAGACTGCTGCGAAGGAATGGACATGCCGAGTTCGTTTCCTGTGTCGTCACCGAGATTGGAGAAATCGTGGACTGGACTTGGGCACTCAGAACTTTCCATCAAATTGACAGAGCCGACTCCCTGAAATCACGTGTTGTGACCATTTTCCATTCCCCGCGGCCGCGGCGTCGAATCCTTCAACGCACATCCGACATGTCGCGGGGGGCCCGAGGCCCTGCCATCCTCCACTTCCTCGTTCGACCGTGTAGTTCTGCGGAATTCGGACCGAGTTCCTCACATCGCTCTATCCCTGTGCCGGTGATGCTTTGGGGTTGAGATTCTTCGGGTTTCTTCGACGGTTCCGTCGAACGCAGCGCGAGCTCGAACTGCGTTCGACGGTGATCCCACAAAAAGCATTTCAGAGTTGTTCGACGGTGTCTCTCTGTCCCTGTCCCGAGGGTGTCCTCGTACAAGGATAGATAAGGGGGGTCCCCAACAAAATCACCGACAGGTCTTGGTGCTTGAAGCTCTGCTCACGGTCAGAAGATGACGGGACCTCGCTGGCCGTTTTGGGCCATCCGCTGCCGTTTTGGGCAATTTTTCAAGATGACGCGCGTGTTTGGCCGGTCTTTTGTGAGGTATCTTTCGTGTGTGAGTGTTCTTGTTGGCATGTGGTGCTACCTAGCAGTGTTCAACATCAAGCCAGCTCGCTGCAAAGGCAACCCACGCAAAATGACACACATTGAAATAACCATTCGTGGCTTTGGTTGTCTCTTCTTGGTTTGCACCTGGTGCCACATCCATCAGCGTTGGTTCTTGTGTCAGCGACACCTCCATTTCATCCATCCGATGAAGTCCTCGTTTCCAACGTTGGAGAAGAAGGTGCCCCCCGGGTGCCGAACTCGGCGTCTCACGTCTCCGGTGCTGAACTCGGCTGCGGACACCGAGTGCAGTGTAGGACGAACGAGCCTCCGACGAGCCTCGTTCGTGGTGTGACACATATTGAACACATGCCGAAACGACGACGAGTTGTGGCGTAGGACGTAGTTTGAGGTCCCAAGTCCCAAAGTTCCAATCCGAAGCGACGCCAAGTGCGTCACAGAAACTTGGGCAGATTCAGCATCTGAATCTCCACGTTTCTGGGGCGTCCTTCAATCTGCCTTAACAACCCTCGGGCCGTGCACCGCCCTCCATGTAGACCTGTAGAGCCACGCCCTGAGGACGTCCGAGCGCCAAATCATCTTCTAAAATCCTTCGTAAAAGCCAGGGTTTTATTTGGGATTCAGGCTATGGATTATAAGGTGCTTCGACCAGACTCTGGCCAAATCGTTGCTCTGGTCAAACCCTTCGTAAAAACATGGGTTGTTCGGGATTCAAACAATGGAATACATCTATAAGGTGGGGGTCGTTTTCGTGGTTTTCAGGATCCCCCCCCAACTGGGGACCAAGAGGAGTCTGGGTCGAATCTCTCCGGTTTGCAAACCGGAAGTCGTCTTTTAGTAGGTGGAAGCTGGTGTTTTTCCAAGTCGGAAAGATGATGCTCGGCACTCTTCAGTCCAATTCCGAAGCTCGTAGACAGCCAACGATCGCGTGGGTCTTGAGATGGGTCTGGTCTTGGACTGTCGGGCAAAGACGTTGGACGGCTGGAGCGAATGGGAATTTTTGACCATGGGGACCATGCGTTTCCCATGGGAAACCGCCAGAACTGAAGAGAAGCGAATGAAAACATGTGGTTTCAGCCCACCGAAAAGGTCACCACCTTTTCAGGTAGATGCTTGTGCAAGTATGTGCAAGTAGTACCAAACAGCTTGAATCAATTTGATAGAATCTCAATAAGTATCCATAGAAGTATCCCAAATATTCAGACCCTGGAAGTCCACGATATTTCGGCCCACCTGAGCGGAAAGCCTTCTTCAGGTCACCTATCGTTGGGCGTCAGGTCATTTATAGAATCTCGTCGAGACCAGATACGTGCGCACGTACCCCCAACGAATCTCGTTGCCCGAAAAACCCCTGCCTTTTTCCTTCCTTCCAATCCTCTTGGGACGGACAGTGATCCTTCACACGCGGGGCGTGTTCTCCTCGAGGTACCCGAGAGCAAGAAGTGCCCGAGACCGGAGCATCGCTCGCTGGGTCGAGATCGAGCTCTCCAAAGCGGGTTTGCCGGCCGGAGTGAAGACAGCGGAGTGAACTCGCTGCCATAGATGGCCATAAGAAAGACTTTGGAGTAGTATTAGAGGGGATATATCGATACCCAGTTGTGAAGAACTACTGTAATAGGAATATATGGTAGCAACATGTACCAAATGTACCCCTCTACTATTCCCAGAAGGACATCATCAAGCAGGATCTCAGTGATTCTTCCTCCGTGAGTTGCATGTCGGGGTAGTGGAAGGGAGGACAGAGATGCCATGAGATGCTGACCCACTCACAAGAAACTGTAAACCACTCCGTGACCTGGAACTGGATGATTTGGTCCAAGTGCCTGGACCCTCCAACACCTATCGATCCGAAAGGAGCTGAAGGGGTCAACCAAACCACCGTGGGTCCGCCCTGAGAGACCCGACCTGTGGCCCTGTGGCCAGGAGTCAGTCCGAGTCCATCCTGGTGGTCCATGTCATGCAGAGCGTGAAAGATCGGACGACCTGGACAAGATGATCAGATCATGCAAACATATTCATATGGGCAAGCGTTATTGACCAATAAAGGTGCCAGACCAAAAGGCTCATTCTTTGTGGGGTCGAAGGCCATATGATTGGTGTTTATCGCTGGAAAAAACCGACAGATCTTGGTCAGCAGGTATGCACACATTGGCTCCTCCATCGACACTGGAGCCTCCGCGAAGAAGGAGAAGGCCCACATAAAAGACGGACCTGATGCTGCGAAGGTACACAGAACACGCCTGGAAGGGCCCGTGAACCTCTTTCTGCCGTCCTTTTGTCTTCTGGCCTATTACGACTCGATGGTATCATTGGAGGACCTCGTTTTACCGGAAAAAGGACGAAAACAGAGAAGGTGGACGTCAGCTCGGACCCAAACTGAAGCAACACCCCCGGACAAGGTAACGGAGTTGCTGTCTAGACACCCCAGAGTTGGGGTCATCTTCCTTCCAATAGCCACCCGAAATCCGTGGCGCTGGTCTTTGTTAACTAATAGTAAGTTGGAACTTCCGATCTTGCGTGGAAGAACTGATCAAAGAAGATTGGAGAAGATGGATGCTTTCTTTGTGCAACACACCGTCCAAAAAGGAAAGTCTTGAAAGAGCTCGGGCCCTCCATGGCGGCATAGGTATCAAAAAAGAATAAAAAGAGCATCAAAAAAAATAAAAACAGGATCAAAAAAAATAAAAAGCGAATCAAAAAAATATTCCTTGATAGGCCTCTTCTGCTGCTCTCCTGGCCTTGTGGTCTGCGGGTCCTCTGGTAATGTGGTCCCTTGGTCCTTTGGTCCCTTGGTCCTCTGGTCCACGGGTCCTTTGGTCCCCTGGTCCCTTGGTCCTTTAGTCCACTGGTCCCCTAGTCCTCCCGTCTCCTGATCCTCTGGTCCTGTGGTCCGCTGGTCCCCTGGTATCCTAGTCCTTCTGTCTCCTGGTCCGCTTGTCTTTTGCTCTCCTACGGCGCTCGTCTGTCGATCTCCTGGTCCCCTGCTTGCGCAAATAGAGGCTTGATTGCTTTCTACTAGAGGCAGCTCCCTGGGAAGAAAGTAGGTACTACTGCTACTGCTACCACTACTACCACTACTACCACTACTACCACTACTACCACTACT